ACCAAAAAATACTACAAGGAGTCCTAAAGCCAGAACCTCAGAGGGACGAATAACAATGGAAGAAGGCCAAAAAAAAAAGTTATTAAAACAATAAATAAGTCAAATCGAAGGAAAGACAAACACAATGGCAAATACAGATGCTAACATATCAATATTAACTCTAAATGTAAATGGACTAAACTCTTCAATAAAAAGACACAGAGTCGCAGGCTGGATTAAGAAACAAAACCCAACCTTTTGCTGTCTCCAGGAAACAAATTTAACTACAAAAGATGAAAATAGACTCAAAGTTAAAGGATAGAAAACAATCATACAAGCAAATGGACCAAAAAAGAAAGTAGGAACCACTATACTTATATCAGATAAAACAGATTTCAAACTCAAAAAGGTAAAAAGAGACCGCACTGCTCACTACATTATGATCAAGAGGACAATACTTCAAGAAGAAATAACACTCATTAACATATACTCACCAAATGAAGGAGCACCAAAATATATCAGACAACTATTATCATCTTTGAAAACAGACATCAGAGAAAACATATATGTAGTAGGAGACTTTAGCACACCACTATCAACAATGGATAGATCAACGAGACAAAAAAATAAGTAAAAACACTAAACCTCCATAAAGGATTTGGGCTTAATAGACATCTATGGAACACTAAAAAAAATGGAGTACACATTTTTCTCAAGCACACATGGGTCATTCTCCAGGATTGATCACATACTGGGACACAAGACAAACATCAAGAGATACACCAAGATTGAAATCATACCAACCATCTTTTCTGACCTTGAAGGTATTAAACTAGAAATAAACCATAAAAAGAAGGCAAGGAATTCTACTACCTCATGGAGATTGAAACCCACACTACTGGAAGACAATTGGACTAATGAGGAGATCAAAGAAGAAATTAAAAAATTCTTTGAATTGAATGACAAGGAGGACACCAATTTCCTAAATGTATGGGATGCAGCAAAAGCAGTAATAAGAGGAAAATATATAGCAATAGAGGCTCACATCAAGATACAAGAAAGAACTCAAAGAAACAACCTAATCTCAAAGCTCAAAGAACTAGAAAAAGAACAACAAGAAAACCCCAAAACCAGTAGAAGAAAAGAAATAATAAAAACTAAAGAAGAAATAAATGAAATAGAAACTAAAAAAACAATCCAAAAGATCAATGAAACCAAAAGCTGGTTCTTTGAAAAAATAAATAAAATTGACAAACCCCTAGCCAGGCTCACAAAGGAAAAACGGGAGAAAGCACAAATAAACAGGATCACAAATGAAAGAGGAGAAATCACAATGGACACAGCAGAAATCAAAAGAATAATGAGAAATTACTATGAACAGTTATATGGAAACAAGTTCAACAATATAGAAGAGATGGACAAATTCCTACAACTCTACAATCACCCAAAGCTAGATAAAGAAGAAATAGAACACCTAAACAGACCAATTACAAGCAGCAAAATTGAAATGGTAATCAAAAACCTCCCCAATAACAAAATCCCAGGACCTGATGGATTTACAAATGAATTCTACCAAACATTCTGAAACGAATTAGTGCCTATCCTTCACAAACTCTTCCAAAAAAATGAGAAAGAAGGAAAAATACCAGACACGTTCTATGAAGCCAACATTACACTAATACCAAAACCGAACAAGGACAACACACTAAAAAGAAAACTACAGGCCAATCTCCCTAATGAACACTGATGCAAAAATCCTCAATAAAATTTTAGCTATCAGAATCCCACAGTGTATCCATAAGATAATTCACCATGACCAAGTAGGATTCATTCCAGGGACACAAGGATGGTTCAACATCCGAAAATCAATCAACATCATCCAACACATCAACAAAAAGAAATATAAAAACCATGTGATAATATCAATAGATGCTGAGAAAGCTTTTGACAAAGTACATCACTCATTTATGATAAAGGTCCTTGAAATTCTTGGGATACAAGGAACATACCTCAACATCATAAAGCCATATATGACAAGCCAACAGTCAGTGTCATTATCAATGGCGAAAAGCTGAAAGCATTTTTATTAAGATCTGGAACAAGACAAGGATGTCCACTCTCACCACTGCTTTTCAATATAATACTGGAAGTCCTAGCCAGAGCAATAAGACAAGAGAAAGACATACAAGGAATCCAATAGGAAAAGAAGAGGTTAAACTATCACTATTTGCAGATGATATGTTACTATACATAGAGAACCCCAAAAACTCCACAGAAAAACTAATTCAACTAATCAATCAGTTTATTAAAGTGGCAGGATACAAAATCAACACGCAAAAATCAGTAGCCTTCCTATACACAAACAATAAATCTGAAGAAGAAGAAATAAAAAATTCCATCCCTTTTATTATTGAAACAAAAAAAATCAAATACTTGGAAATAAATCTAACAAAAGAGGTAAAGGACCTATACAAAGAAAACTATAAAACACTGTTAAAAGAAATCAAAGAAGACACAAAGAAATGGAAAGACATCCCCTGCTCATGGATTGGAAGAATTAACATTATCAAAATGGCCATCCTACCAAAAGCAATATACAGATTCATGCTATTCCAATAAAAATTTCAATGACATTCTTCAAAGAAATAGAAGAATTATTGATGAAATTCATATGGAATCACCAAAAAGCCCCCAAATAGCCAAAGATCTGAAAAAAAAAAAAAAAGAAGGGAATGGAGGCATCACACTCCCAGAGTTCAAACTATACTACAAAGCCATAATTATCAAAACTGCATGGTATTGGAACAAGAACAGACACACAGACCAATGGAACTGAATAGAAAATCCACAAATAAACCCACAGATTTATGGTCAACTAATCTTTGACAAAGGAGCAAAGAATATGCACTGGAGCAAAGAAAGCTTGTTCAATAAATGGTGCTGGGAAAACTGGGTCACCAAATGCAAAAGAATGAAGCTTGACCACTACCTCACACCATGCACAAAAACCAACTCAAAATGGATTAAAGAACTTGACATAAGACCTGAAACCATAAAATACATAGAAGAAAATATAGGCGAAACACTACATGACATGCACATCAAAGACATCTTTACAGACACATCACCCAAAGCAGTGATAGTGAAGGCAAAGATAAACAGCTGGGACTACATCAAATTAAAGAGCTTCTGCACAGCAAAAGAGACAATAACCAAAACAAAGAGAAACCCCACCAACTGGGAGAACATTTTTGCACCCAACACTAATGATAAAGGACTGATCACAAAAATCTACAAAGAGCTGATGAAACTCAACAAAAACAAAGAAAATAATCCAGTCAAAAAATGGGCAGAAGTGCTAAAAAGAAACTTCTCCAAAGAGGAAATGCAAATGGCCAACAGGCATATGAAAAAATGTTCAACATCACTTGTCATCAGGGAAATGCAAATCAAAACTCCCATGAGATACCATCTTACACCAGTGAGAATGGCACATATTAAAAAAACTAGCAACAACAAATGCTGGCGAGGGTGTGGAGAAAAAGGAACTCTTGTGCACTGTTGGTGGGAGTGCAAACTGGTCCAACCACTGTGGAGAGCTGTGTGGAGATTTCTGGACCTACTAAACATAGAGCTTCCATATGATCCAGCAATTCCACTCCTAGGTATTTACCCAAAGGACACAGAAACATCAACTCCAAAGAGCACCTGCTCCCCTATGTTTATAACAGCACTGTTTACAATAGCTAAGCTTTGGAAACAACCCAAATGCCCAAAAATAGATGACTGGATCAAGAAGATGTGGTACATATACAGCATGGAATATTACTCAGCAATCAAAAAAGATAAACACATGCAGTTTGCAGCAACATGGATGGCGCTGGAAGGGATCATGCTCAGTGAAATAAGTCAGAAAGAAAAAGAAAAATACCATATGGTCTCACTCATAGCAGGAATTTAGAAAACCTAAATAAGAGACCAGGATAAAGAGTAATCAATACAAAGTAAAAATCAAAAGCAACAAGCAACTATAAACCAGAGACGCACTACGGGGCAGGGGGTGGGGGGGTGGGGGGTGAGGGAGGGGCGGGGAAAGGAAGTTCTAGAGTCAAAATAAGCAGGGGGTGCAATTGTATGGGAATATAACCAACATGAAAATGCATACATTGTGCAAAGATGAAAAAGATGTAAGAATTACATAAAATAAAATATTTAAATTAAAAAAATAAAAAAAATGTAGAACCCTGTGTCTTTGGTTCATGCAGATCAACATTCAACAAGTTTTCCAGGCAGCTCCTCCTCCTGACTTTCTCATTTTAGCCTCCTAGGGAAGCCCGTACGTGGGTCTCTAGTGCTGTGAGACATGCTGGACAAGGAACAGATTTCCTCCAGGGACTTCACCATAACCATGACAGGCTTCCCACACATGTTGGTTCTTTCTTCCCACAAACTCACAGGCAGCTACAGTCTCAGTTATAAACCATTCGTTTTATTTTTTTAACTGTGGAGACCATTTGTGCACCTCATTACTGTGGTTTTCTTTGTCCTTTTGCATTATAAAGGGTCTTCTCCTTCCCTTTTCAAACCGAGACTTGCATGAGCGCAGGAGCAAGTTTGGATGGATGCAGAATTACTTCACACCTCAAGTGCTATATATACAGTTTGGTGAAGTACAAACCCACGAAGTTCAAGGGAAGACCCAAACCAACATCCTCTCCCCAGTAGTTACTTTAATATTCAAACATGGACATTCTATTTAAACATACAGTGGGTAAAAATTGGGGAAGCCTAGAGTTTGGTACAATGGTCAAGAAATACTTCATTCACACCGTTGTGAATCATCAATGTGTCCGGTGAGTCCATCCAGCCTTATGAGGGGGGGTGGGGTCTGAACTCCCCTTGGTTCCTGAAAGGTATCAAGGACATCTTCCCCAAGTGCCATCAAGGGTGCTGTTTGGAGCTAATTGTGTTGTTTTCTGGCAGGCCCTTCTTTCCACCTACCTCCTCTGCCCTACTTCGCCATGGCATGTAACCCCATTTCCAGTGCTGTACAGCTATCAGACATAAATTCCAGGCATTTTATGGCGGCGCAAGTTGCTGAGTCTCAGCATTGTGAAGCTCTTCCCAGCCTCTGCAGCACTAGTTCGATCCTTCGCCACGGAGCTACCCATGTGGCGCAGCAGACCTCTCCTGTCTCCCTGCTGCTGCCCTGAGCACTGTATTTCATTAGATACAGTTCTCCTGCTTCCCACTCTGATTCTGGTGAATCCTTTCATCTGCTGAACCTCTGGCCTGCCCCTCAGCTCATGCAAGCATAAACAAAAAAAATCTTTAAAAAAAATTAGATTCCTTCAAGTGGAAAAGCAAACATGATTTAACCAAAGCAGCTAAATATTTCCCCCATGTTCCTTAAACTACACTTTAAATTTTAGCTACTACTGACTGTAGAATAAAAGGAATAAAAATTGGGGGATTGGGAGAGGAAATCCAGCCAGTCCAAATTATTTAATACACCACTGGTGGGAAACCCCTGAGATTTTGAATTACCCACTACTGGTCATGAATGTTTTCCTGCATCCTGGCTCGGGGTGTGGCGGTGGGTTATGTGTCCAGCTGGGCATCTGTCTCTCCCCCGGTCTAGTATGAGAAAAGGCATCTACAGAAACTGGAAGTGTGTGAGGGTTTGCTTAGTGGGGCCTGGGATTCAGTGGAGGAACCATCCTGCCTTTGCATTTGAGGGTTGCTGCCACCCAGCGCATTTGACGACGGACTCACTTACTAGTGACTCAAAAATCCTGTCATGCAAGACTATATATATCGTTATCCTGAAAAGTATGGCCATTCACAAACAAGACTCCATGTGATCACACTCCAGAAAAGGGGTATTTTCCTGTTTCCTGCTCTTCGGCACATTAGACTCGTATTGAAGTACAGGCTTTCTGGGGTGATTGTGTCATTCATCAGCCTGGTGAGTTGGTGCAGTCAGACACACTGCGGGGATTTCACTTGACACCATGTTCAAGGGAACTGAAATGGAAAATGTGCATTTGAAGTGCATTTCTGTGCTGATCAAATGTCAGTTTAGATTTGGAGTGCTGAGAAGTGGATTAACAAAAAAAGAACTCTATCATTTTAGGGAAGATTCCAGAACTGTTGGCTGCAGGTGTGGTGGATCGCATGACCGTGCTTGTGCTGGTGAATGCCATCTGCTTCAAAGGCTCCTGGCAGGATGAATCAGAAAAGAAGAAACCAGGACGCTCCACTCAGGTTGAGTAAGATGAGCCCATGCACGGTCTCTTTGCTCTGCAAGAGCAGACATACTCTTTGCTCTACATGAATGCAGATAATACTGATTTTTCTTCTATCCTTTCAGTGAGGAAAAAAATGGTGAAAATGATGTACCAGGAGAATTACCTTCCATTCGGCTACATCCTGGAGCTCCAGTGCCGCGTGCCGGAACTGCCATACAAGGGCGGGGCTCTCAGCATGGTCATCCTGCTGCCCGATGACCTAGAGGACGAGTCCAAGGGGCTGGAGAAGGTGATGCTCCTGTACTTTGTCCTCCTCCCTCCTTTCCTGTGTGAGTCCTCCCGTGTGTGCTGAGCAGTCAGTACATGTTATGTTTACTGATGTCACTCCACTTCCCTTTCTTTTGTAATCTAGCCCATCATATTTACCTGGGTATCCTTCATTTAACATTTCAGGGGGGTCCTCCCCGGTGGCGCAGCAGGTTGAGCGCAGTGCTGTGAAGCTGTCCACACCCCTGAAGTGCAGGTTTGATTCCCAGCTGGCCAGGGAGATCCCCACATGGTGTGGCAGACTTCTCCTGTCGTTCCCACTGCTCTGTCTGCCTGTTCTGCTCCTTGCTCTGACTGGTGAACTCTCTCAGCGTTCAGCATCTCTGGTCTGTATCCCAGCTCTTGTATAAATAAATAAATCTTTTTTTTAAAAAAATAAAATTTCAGGGACTCTCAGTGAACACTTGTGGGAACCATGAACAGACCTACATTAGATGTAATGCTGGTCACGGGCAGCTCATGCAAACTCTTGTAATTAAACTTTAGAGACTGAGGGTTGTTTTATTAAAATGAATTTGTTCAAAATTGAAACCCCCATCCTATGGCATATGCTTCATCCTATGCTCTTAGTTCCTTTTATGACACTCTCCGATCTCCTTACAATGCACACTGATCGTGAAATCAATTCCCAGTAACTCTATCATAGAAGAAGGCTCCTGAGACAAGTGAACTTGAGGGTTAAGCCTGTTTCCTAGTGTGAACTTTATATGAGGTTCTACTATAAGGACTTGAAAGCTATGGAATCTGTTGCCAGGACTGGGAACAGGCAAAACCTGAAGATTACAATTTTTTCTCAGTGTCTCTAGCCTTCTGTGTTATATCGCCACTTTCTCCTCACCAAATTTGCTGTCCAGAAGGGATCTAATGTAGTATCTATTTACATATATGGAGGATGGCAAAATCAGCATGTCCCTCTTTCAGTTGTATTTCCACCTTGATCTGTTCTCTGATTATAAAGAGTCTCACGAAAGGGATAGAGCTAGAGCAATAGAGCTAGTGTAATGATGGTTCTGCTCTAGTCCTATCATGGTAATAAAACAGCAGTGATAACAGCGGACACTTACATAGTCCTTACTGTGTCCAACTCATTTAATTCTAATGACAAGGTTAGACTAAAGGTAGGTGCTGTTATTACCCCATTTCAGATGAGGAAGTAGGATCTTTTCTATTTTTCCCTAGGAGCTAAATCTATTAGAGATGATTTCAGCTTTGTGTGGTTCACAGATCACCACAGTGATTAGTGGGTTCAGAATAAATAGAATTGATAGGTGAAAACGTTTACCTTTCCCTTTCTCCATGCAACCAATTAGTCAACATGTAATATAGCCTTCATGGTCATAACCCATCACAGTGATTCCGTATAATGGTGGAGTAATATTGAGTCCTGGGAGAGTGGGTAGACAGATGGGTAGGATGAGGCTGTACTACGGGGTGGGTGGATGCATGGACAGGTGGGTGGATGGAGAGATGGATGATGGTTGTTTGTTGGATCTGATGTCCAGCCTCCTGTACTGGTGCCCTGGATGGCCTGGAACACACACTCTCTCATTATTCCAATTGCTGGAAAGAACTGGCAGAAAACAGGAAGGAAACAAAAGAGCAACTGACATTAGGGTCTGTTCATTTAAATAACCCTTTAGTACTTACCTATATGAAATTGTTTTCTCTTTGCACATTCTAATTCCAGATCAAGCAGCAGTTGACTTTGGAAAACTGTGTGCGAATATGGGTCATAGGGATGTCTGTGTCCACTTGCCCAAATTCAAGCTGGAGGAGACCTATGATCTCAGCTCCCACCTGGCTCACATAGGTGTGGCAGTGCCGCGGACCAGCACAGCAGTGAGCGATGAGGCCGTCTCAGGGTTGAGAGACTGCGCAGGGTGGTCAGGGATTCGGTTAAAGAAATGACAAACAGACACACTTCAAGAGTGAAAATCTGAGTGTAATTTTATTTGAGTTGGTGACCAGTATATATATGTTTTCTAAAAGCATAGGAATGGCGAACATCAGTGAAGAAATCAGCTTGCTTATAGGTTTAGCTTATCATTGACAGGGCAGTGATTTACATCTGGACCCAGGCGCATTCCTAAGTAGTTAGGCTATTAATTTTTCTTTTTGTTTTATATGATTACTTTTTGTTTTAACTACTCACTATTACTATTAATTAACACGGGTGAATTTTACTTTTCACAATGTAATATTTTTATCATTTAGATTAATACAAACTAGGCTAAGTATACAACAGAGAAATTATTAAGCTAGCAGTTCTATTAATACACAGAGTTTAGTAACGTTTCATTTGAATCAGCCTAGTTATTAGATTTCGTATGTTCTTTTTTAATCGGCAAACCAATGACCTTTTAAACAGAGAAAGAGAAAAGATTTTATTTTTTATTTTTTTTTTTTTTTAATTTTTTTTTTTTACAGAGGCATGTTTTTATTTATTTATTTATTTGTTTGTTTGTTTTTTGTTTATACATGCACTGGGTACAGTCAGAAGCGCGGGAGGGTGAGAGAATTCACCAGAGCCAGAGTGGGGAGCAGAGCAGGCAGAAGGACCGAAGTACACTGCTGAGGGGAGCAGCGGGCGGCAGGAGAGGTCTGCGCGCCATGTGGGACCCTCCTCCGGTGGCCGGGGAGCAGCCGGGGATCGAACCGGCGCCGCAGAGGCCGCGGGCAGCTTCGCTACCGAGCGCTCAACCGCTGCGCCACCGGGGAGGCCCGAGAAAAGATTTTAGAGAGACAGTTGTATTAGAATAAAGTTTGTGGGCCTTGAGAAGGTGAGATAAGTTTCCGAGCGGACAGCATTCCTGTAGTGGCTCCTGGTGGTCAGGCTTCCGTCTTATCTATGTCTTCAGGCGGTTTTTGCTGTTCTCCTCCTGCGCTCTGGTTGCCCAGCCGGACCTAGGGATTCCTAGAGGTCACTGCAGGAGGAGGTGCAGCAAGTATATCTTCAGGGGGTTTTGCTGTTCTCCGCCTGCGCGCTGGTTGCCCAGCCGGACCTAGGGACCGTGGCGCAAGCCATTAGCCCTAAGGGTCACTGCAGGGGGAGGTGCAGCATGGCAGATCTCTTTAGCCAGAGCAAGGCTGATCTGTCTGGCATGACAGAAGCCAGAGATATTTTCATATCAAAAGTTATCCACAAGTCTTTGTGGAGGTGAGTGAGGAGGGCACAGAGGCAGCGGCCGCCACAGCTGTCATAGTCACGAGGTTCCTGGTGAAGCAGATAAAGATTTGGTTGCCGACCATCCATTTGTATTCATGATTTGTCACAACCCCTCTGGCAGCATCCTGTTCTTAGGCAGATTGTGTTCCCCTTAGAGGCTGTAGAAATATACGGTCAAATAGAGTTTAATCATCAGACTTTTAATGCAGCTATAACGTCACCAATAAAACCACTGTCCAAAACCAAATGTTTAATTTCCTTTGTAAGTGCAGCTCTGCTGGGTCTTGACATACAAGTCTGCTGCCACAGGTGTCATATTTCCTCTCTTTACAGTATGAAACTCCAGGACTGTTTTTGAAAGTGCCAAGTTAAAACAGACATCCCAGATGTGTAGATTCTTGACAAAGCAGTCATCTGTGCAGGGAAACATGAACACACTGTGCTTCAGTTATCAGAATTTTATTTTATACAATTTTTAAAAAAAGATTTACTTATACAAAAAATGGGGCATAGGTCAGAGGTGCGGGAATTTAAGAGAGTTCACCAGAGACAGAGCACGGAGCAAAATAGGCAGAGGGACTGAAGATACTGCTGACGGGAGCAGCAGGTGAGGCAGGAGAGGTCTGCTGTGCCATGTGGGTATCTCCTTGACCAGCCGGGAATCAAACCCTCACTGCGGAGCCTGAGCACAGCTTCACAGCGCTATGCTCAACTCACTGCGTCACAGGGGAGGCGCATACTTTTTTAAAAAAGATTTATTTATTTTATGCATACAAGAACTGGCGTACAGGTCAGAGGTGTGGGGGGTGAGAGGATTCACCAGACACAGAGCAGGGAACAGAACAGGCAGACTGACTGAAATACACTGCCTCGGGGAGCAGCGAGTGAGCAGGAGAGTCAGGAGAGGTCTGCTGTGCTATGTGGGTTGCTCCCTGGCCAGGGATCGAACTTGTGCTGCAGAGGCTGCAAACAGCTTCATAGGTTGCGGCTTAACTCCTTGCACCACCATGGAAGCCCCAGTTAATAGAACTTTAGCCTTAAAAGCAGACAATCAGTTGAAATAGAGGAGAGAATCCCAATGAAGCCTCCAATTAGCAAGGATAACCTTACCTTGATCTTTGTCCTAAAGAGTTACATGCCATAGGACTAGTTTTCAGGCCATGAAATTTTTTTAATTAATATATTTCTCTTCCTTCTTTGTAATCACATGTTCTCCCACCACCATATCTCCCATGAACTATCTTCACATTACTTTTGTTCCTGGTTCCTCCTCCCCACCCTTTCCTTCGCTGTGTGCCTCAGAGCTATGGTCAGCTTGCCTGTTTCGACATTTTCTTGACCTTATGTTTGATTTCTCTGTATTCCACATATAAAGTGTTTATCTTTTTCCTTCTGACTTACTTTGGCTGGCATAATGCTCTCCAGCTCCGTCCATGTTGTCACAACTAACCTTTTTGATTGCTGAGTAATATTCTATTATATAAATGTACCATATCTTCTTGTTCCATTTATCTATTTTGGGGCATTTCCATGACTGGGCTTTTGTAAATAGTGTTGTAAAAAACATGAGAGTGCAGTTTCCATTCGATTTAGTTTTTTAATGTCCTTTGGGTAGATCCCTAGGAGTGTAATTGCTGGATCAAAGGGTAGATCCAGTATTAGTGTTTTTAGGGTTCTTCTACCCAGCTTTCCATAGTGGCTGGAGAGTTTACTTCCCACCAGCAGTGTAAGAAGCTTCCTTTATCTCCACACACTCCCATATTTGTTGTTTCTGTTTTTTTTTTAATGTGGGCAAT